GGCGGTCAGAGTCACCACCAGCAGCACCAGCTCGGTTAAGCTTCCCAGCAACGGCAGTGCCATCCATTGATATTGCCGTGCCACGGGTTGATGTGGATTTGGCATTGAAAACAGATGCCGGTGCCGTGGCAGTGCCGGATGAGGGGGATGCCGTGGTGATGCCGGATGTGGCAGCCAGGTTTGCCAAAGGGCTCCGAAAGCTCAGCCTGGAGCTGGAGCCCACAGCACCACTGCCGGTGGTGGAAATTGCCACCCCGGCACGGCTCACCGGGGATGTGCCGGTAACCGGCGCCAAACCCAAAGTCCCCAAATTCACCCTTCCACAGTTCGGGTTGTCCCTCGCCAAGCTCAAAATGGGCGGCAATGGTAACGGGTATCCCCCGACGTCCCGCAGCACAGCCGCGCCAGCACCGTCCAGCATCACCGTCGCTGGTCCCACGGTGGCCTTAGACCTGGCTTTGGGGACAGTTGGTGCCACAGGTGCTGGAGTCAAGCTGAAGGTCCCCAAATTATCCCTGACACCTTTCGGTGTCAAGGATGGGGACAAGGGTGCTGGCGGCGAGGAGGGTCCCCAGGATGCCGGTGCAGTGATGAAGCTGCCATGGTTGGGAATTGGGAGGCCAGTGGGGGATGATGGGAGGTCAGTGGAACCAGGGTGCCCCGGGACCCCCCGGCTTCAGGTACCGCGGGTAGACATTGCCCTGCCGGCAACAGGCAGCCGGCGCGTGCCATCGTTGCCTAAACTCCCCGCTGGGCCAGAGCTGGGAGGCAGGGTGAAGTTGCCAAAATTTGGGGGATCCAGCCCCGATATCCGCATCGGGGGAGACCCAAAAATGATGAGGCGTGGGGGAAGTGCTGAGAGCTTGAGCATTGGCACGGCAGGAAGGAAGATGCCAGAGTCTCCCAGCTCGATCTGGTTGAAGCTGAAAAGCAGGGGGGCAACGGATGGTGGGTGGGCCCCACTGTCGACCCCCCGGTTCACTGTCCCCGCTGTGGGTTTCACTGTGCCGGTAAAACAACTGGAGGATCCAGTAAGCCTGAAGACACCAAAACCCACCAGCATGGCGGCGTTGAAGGTGCCTGTGTTGGAGTTGGCACCGCCGGGCATAGATGAGACAGAGGAGACCACTGGGAAGGATATGGCACCGGGACGCCAGTCTAGGGTCAAATTGCCAAAATTTGGCGCAGGTTTTGCTGGGAGCGGGTTGGAAGGTGAGGGGAGGATGAGGATGGGCGGTATGAAGAAGGCAGTATTGGTGTTGGTGAAGCCGAAGGAGAAAGGAGAAGACAACCGGGTGGTGGACCCCCATCCCCACATCAATGGGGAAGCAGAGGGCAAGGCCCGGCGATGGCGGTGGGTGCCCAGGGTGGGTTTCTCCCCTGGGGGGTCCCCACCAGAGCCCCCCATACTCCAACCCAAAGGGGAGAAGATGCGGTTACCAAATATTGAGCTATCCCCTGGGGACCCTGAATTCAACCAGCAGCCAGTGATGACGGAAGTCACCCCACGCTTGAATTTGGGGGGAGGAGGTGGTTTAGAAACCCCTAAATTTCAGCTGCCTAAGCTGGTGCTGAGCCCCCAACCCTGCAGTGAGCATTGAAACCCCCCCCAAGCATGGGGGTCTTTGGGGAACCCCTGAAGTGGTGACAGGGTGCTAAAGCATCACTTGCTCCCCCAGACCCTCTTTAACCCCCTTACTCCCCAAAATATTCCTAATCTGTCTTCTTTTTGGCAATGTTTGAAGCTTTTTTGGCCATTTTCCAGGTGTTAATATTAACCGGGGAGGTGGGGGGACAGCGGCATTGCCCCCTCCAGCCCCTTGCTCTTGGCTTGGCCAGAATAAATGTTAACCCCAAAAAAAGCCCTTAAGCATGTCTGTGGAGTCTGGCGGGGGGGGGAGGCATGGGTTTGGGGGACCAGTGATGGGTTTTGGGAGGCTGGGGATGGGTTTTAGGGGGATGGGGATGGGTTCTGGGGCTGGAAATGGATTTTGGGTGTCTGGCATGGGTTTTAGGGGCTCAGGGATAGGTTTCAGAGAGCTGGGTTATGTGCAGCCAGGGATGAGTTTTGGGAGCCTGGGAATGGGTTTCAGAGGATCAGGGATGGGTTTGGGGGGGCTGGGGCTGGGTTTTGGAAGGTTTAGGATGGATTTTGGGGGACCGGGACTGGGTTTTTGGGGGTTCCTCCACCCGGACTGCAGTCCCTAGCACAGGGGAGCGGTTGCTCCTGGGGACAACGTCAGCAACAGAAGGTGTCGTCACGGCAATGCCAGAACCAGCAGTGCTGTTGGGGGCCAGGTTGAGGTGGTTGGGGGTGTCCCAAGCACCCAGTTGGGTGCTGAGTGCGGGGTCACAAGCCCTTGGCGAGGAGCCAACCCACCATGGGGACACTGGTGGCAGGTGCCGAGTGCTACGACATGGTGGCCACGGTGGGGAAGGGGACCTTCGGGAAGGTGACCCAGGGCTGGCGGAGGAGCACAGGGGAGATGGTGGCCATCAAGATCTTGAAGAATGAAGGCCACCATGGCCGGGTGGCAAAGAATGAGCTGAGGTTGCTGCAGGCCTTGCAGGAGGTGGACACAGAGGAGTCGCACATCGTCCGTTTCCTCGAGTCCTTCAGTGATGGTGCCTGTACCTACCTGGTCTTCGAGCTGCTGGAGCAAAACCTCTTTGACTTCCAAAAGCAGAACAACTTCTTGCCATTGCCCGTCCGGCACATCCGTACAATCACAGCACAGGTGCTGGCGGCATTGGTCAAGCTGAAGGAGCTCTCCATCATCCACGCTGACCTCAAGCCAGAGAACATCATGCTGGTGGACCATGCGCGCTATCCTTTCCGCATCAAGCTCATCGACTTCGGCTCGGCCAGCATCTTCACCGAGGTCCGCCATGTCAAGGAACCCTACATCCAATCCCGCTTCTACCGGGCACCAGAGATCTTGTTGGGGTTGCCCTTCTGCGAGAAGGTGGACATCTGGTCTTTGGGTTGCGTGGTAGCCGAGCTTCACTTAGGTTGGCCACTCTACCCCGGGATCAACGAGTATGACCAGGTCCGCTACATCTGCTCCACCTTGGGGCTACCACGGGGTGAGTTGCTCTGCGCTGCCCGGAAGACACGGTCCTTCTTCCAATGGGTGCCACATCCCACCAGTTCCTGGCAGCTCAAACCACCAGGCGAGGAGATGGCAAAGCCAATGGAGAGGAGGAAGTATGTCTTCTCCTCGCTGGATCAGTTGGCAGCGGTGAACATCCACCCGGTGTCTTATCCCAGCCAGGAGGCACTAGCTGAGCGCTGTGACCTGCACGGGATGGTGGAGCTGGTCAAGAGGATGCTCACCTGGGACTCGCACGAAAGGATTGTGCCCAGTGCCGCTCTGAAGCATCCCTTCATCTCCTTGCAGCAGCTGAAGTCCAGCTTTGAAGCCACCCAGTACTACCAGCTCTGCCAAGAGGACCTGAGGGCATCCCGTAAGGATGTTGGCACAGTCAAGATCTTCCCTGGCATGGAGGAAGGTGCCTTCATCCCCACCGGCCGGTGCAGCATCCAGAAGGCCATCACCCAGATGGATGGGCTCAGCCTGGCTGAGCCGGTTGGGGACACTGGTGACAAAAGCCAGCAGGGCATCTGCCAAGCCCCCATCCCCACCCACTATGGCACCCGGCACCGCCAGCATCACCAGCGTCCCAAGACAGAGCCCACTGCCGGTAACTTGATCGTGCTGGGATCCCCCAGCAGATGGGAGCAGCGCGGCCACCACAATGGCAGCATGGTCTTTGGTGGGATCACAGAGCAGGACCTGCCTGGAAGACCGTACACCTTGCCCCATGCCAAGGTATGGCCACAGGGTTGGGGGCTCATGCAGGGACTGGTGGTTCCTGGGTGTGGGTGCTCCTGGGCATGAATGCTCTGGGGCGCTGTGTGCTTGGGGTCCCTTGGGTGCTTTGTGTCCTCCAGGTACTTTGGATCCCTGGATGCTCGAGGTCCCTGGTGCCCCCCTGTCATGGGTGCTTAGGGTCCCTGGATGCTTAGGGTCCCTGGTGCCCCACATCATGGATGCTCAGGGTCCCTGGGTGTGCCAGGCCACCACAAAGGGATGAGGACTCCACCCATGGGTGCCATTCACCCCCTCCCTATGCTTCTCCCCATCACAGAGAGCTCCGGTGACGCAGCGTGACCCCAAGCCACATCCCATCCCTGAGGATGGGCTCTGGGGACCAGGCTGGGACCTTCCTGCTATACCTGGCATGCTCCTCCCAGCACAGAGCCGGCAACATCCACAGCACCGCTGAGCCGCCACGGCAACCCTGGCAAACACCCTGGCAGCCAAGAGCTCACCAAAGACCCTCCTCTTCCTCACCTTCGGTCACCCTCACCAGCAAAACCCGGCTCCACACTGGTAGACAAGAATGTAGCCAGGGATGCACCAAGATGTGTTGTGCCGGATGCTACCGGCACTGGTTCTTGCAATGATCCCCCAATAAATGGTTTGCCAATGGCCAAGCACTTGACCTGACTCTTTGCTGGGATGGGTTTGGCAGTGTCAAGACTCAAGGGGCGTCCCGGCTTCCCTTTCGGTACTGGCACAGTATTTGGCAAAGGTCCGGTGCTCTCCCATCACTGCAGTACAGAGGACACCTGCCCCCACACCAATAACAGCAATGCAAAGTCCAGAAAATTGCTTTTTTTTCTGTTTTTTTCCCCAAACTGGAGCAGGGCGGCCAGATTCGGCACTGCTAGAACCTCTGGTTCACTGGTGGTCCGTTCCCCAGCACCTAATGGGAGCCGCAGAAGCTCTCCCACCGCTCAGCATCGCCGATGTCAGCGCTGTACTGGGAGCTCCAATCCCGCTCAAAAACTGCCTGCAGCTGCTCCCGGACTGTGCTGGTGCTGGCAGCAGTGCCGGTGGTGGTGCTGGCACCAGTTCGGCTCACTGTCTGGTTCACCACCAGTGCCGATCCCGCCGTCCGCACAAAGTAGTCACCAGACCAGTTGGATGTCCCTGCAAGATTTAGGGGGGGGACACCCCAAAAACCGCCCCCAAGCCATCGTCAGCAGCAGCTGACGGTGACTCACATGCTGGCACCACCGCTTGCACCACGCTCACCAATATAGGCTGCCTTCTCCGTCACCATGTACTTGTTGTGGTTCACCCGGGCGTAGGGGATCTGGGCTTGTGCCGCACTTGCCGGCACCATGAAAAGCCGCTGCGGGAAGCGAGGAAACGTTCACCCATTGAAAGATCTCCCTCCAGCACGCTGCAGTCACACTGCGATACCCACCACCTCCACGCTGTAGCGGGTCCGATTATCAGCGACGGCGGCGAGGGATTTGAGGAAGGGGAACATCGTCACTTTGCTGTGCCGCCAACAACCCACCAACAACCGAACCTCGACCCGACGTTCAAAGACAGCTTTCCGCAGCTGGTTATCAATCGCTGGCCAAAATCTGGGAAGGGAAAGCTGTTAGGCATCACTGGTGCCAGCAAGCCAGGGTTGTTATAGGACCATACGAACCTTTGGGGGTGGGAGAATTCGGTGGTGGGTAGGTAGCTCATCACCGCGATGTCCACGAAGTCCTCGGCGGCATCAATGACATTGAGGAGGGCGCTGAGATCCTGAGTCCGACCAGTGGCACAGAAAGCCGGTGGGGAGCTCTGCCAGAATCATCAGAGATGGATCAAGCACCAGCACAGCCGACCCTCAGCACCAGGGAAACCAGCCACAGTGGATCAGGGACATACCGAGAAGTAGACAGCAGCATCGGTGTCATTGAGCTTCAACTCCAGTGGCGTCTCCATATTGAAGGTGGTGGAATAATTTGCTGGCCAGGGTACTGGGATGGAAGCACCAGGAACGCCAAGAGCCCAGTAAGCTTCAAAAATTTTGCCTAAATCTTTGGCCAAGCAACTGCAGTTGTAGATGGCAGCGCCGAGCTCCTTCACCTGTGGCGAGCAGCACAGTGGCACTGTCACATCACCAGACAGTCCTGTCATCCCTCTCCAATGCCCCAAGTCCCATCTTACGGCATTGAGCATCCCTTGATTGGGATAGTGATGGGGATGGTGATGGGGGGTTGGTTTTGGGATAGCCCTGGCACCGTTTGGCACAGGTTTGGCACCATTCGGTGGTATGAAGGTGCTGCCACGCTGCTCACCTGAGTCAAAGACCTCCAGTCCATGTTGGCGCTCCCAACGTAGAGGTGGGTGCCATCAACAAGCCAAAACTTGGTATGCAACACGCCGCCAGTGAGCCGTGGCATATCAATGGTGCGCACCATAGCACCTGCGTGACCATGAGTTGGGTGTCTCCCACTCAAAATGCCCCAAAAACCCCAATTTGGGGGTTTTTCCATCACTCACCGCTCTGCTCCAGCGCTTGGAGATCGTTCAGGGGCGATTTTGACGACGGGCGGCTGACGGCAATTCGGACGGTGATGCCACGTGGGGATAATTGGAGGAGTTCCTCCAGGATTTGTTCACCCTGAATCAGCACACGGATTGAGGCCAAAAAAAGCAGAAATGATTAAAAATTATGGGAAGGTGAGAAAATGGCAGCCGGCACCAGGCTCAAGTGCCAGAATTGCAGCTGTGCCACGTGTGCCGGTGCAGACCTGGGCAGCAGAGGGTTCGTGTGTCCGTGTGTCCTCGTTGGTCATGGTCCAGTAGAAGGAGGCAATGTCCAGGCTGTGGGTGACAGTCCCCAAGAGGTTCATCCACGTGGAGAAGGTGGATGGATTCAACACAGAACTGTCACTGAAGGTCATTCCCTCTGGGATGCTCTCCACCAGGACGATTCTATGGTGGAAATTTGTCAGCACCGGCACCGGTGAGATTGTAGCGCCAGGATGCCAAGGGTCTTGGGGGAGCGTCACCCCCCATAAGCTCATCTTACCGGCACGTGTCACCGCAGGATCCGGCATCACCGCTGGCATCGCCACGGAAGGCTGAGCTCAGACGGAGATTGAAGAAGAGGAGGAAGATGAGGATGAAGAGGGTGAGGAGGACAGCGGAGAGCAACGTGCCACAGGAGCACTGGGATGGGCAGGGTGCGTCAGTGCCCCAAAATTAAGGAATAAATTAAATTATGTGGTTTAAAACTACCCCCAACACTGGTGGGATCCAGCAAGGGATGGCACTGGACCCAGCTAGCACCAAAGCTGACCCCCATAGACGGGGGAGACTTACCTTCAGTGGGAAGCGGGTGGGCTGCGCCCCTCGGTCCTCCAGTGGGTCCAGCTGTGATTGGAGGCAGAGAATCCCAGTGGGGGGGACCCTGAACCAGGGTGAGGGCTGGTTTGGGGGTAAAACCCACCCCAAAATGCCCAGGGTCCCCAGGGAAAAGTGCCCCCCCCCCATACTGCTGGACATCCCCACGGGTGCAGGGTCTAGGTGGAAATAGGGGGCATGGGGTGCCCCAGGTTGGGGTTGTGAGGTGCTGGGGCAGGACAGGGGCCTATGGGGCACCCCAATTTGTGATTTTAGGGTTCCAGGATGGGGCAGGGAGCTAAGGGGTGCCCCAGTTTGGGGTTGTAGGCCACATACCTGCTTGTAGGTGCCATCGGGCTTCATCCCGGCGTGACGCTGGAACAAAACGAACCGGATTTCTCTCGAACGTGCCCGGACAAGCGAGACACCCCAGGGTGCGGCACAGCTGGTATTTTTGGGGTACGAGTAAGGGGAGAGACCCCAAAAAAACATGCGGGGCAGAGGCTTTCCCAGCTGACTCACGGGATTTTTTCGCACGCGCTCTGGCCCTTTGGGGGCGGGGAGGGGAGGTGCCCGGTCCTCCCCCCCCCCGCCCCCATTTGGGCTGATCCCCCGCTGGGAACCGGGTGGGGCACCCCAATTTTGGGGCGCAAACACCTCCCACCATGCTGGGGCCCCTCCCCTGTGCCTCGGGGACCCCACAAAAAGGGGGTGCTCGGCCCCAGGGATCAGCCCCCCCCAGACCCTGCCCTGTTCTGGGGAGGGGGTT